AACTGAAGACTATAGTCACTGTACTGCTTGTAGAGATTTTTCTTCAACGGAGATTTGCGCAACGAACGAGTCATGTTTGATCTGCGAAAGCACGCGATGCACTGACACCTGGCCGATTCCCGAGACTATTTTGCGCTACGAAGAGGACTAGTAGCGCTTGCGCGGGCTCTCGCGGGCTTTCTTCGAGCCGCAGGAAAGAAATTACTTCTAGCAGATAGGCGGAACTTTACGCTGATCGATAGTTTTTTGCGACTTGTTGTAATGATAGTTGCCAACGTTACTATCTACCAATGTGGAGAGAAAGACAAAGAGGTAACACGGTAATTTTAGTACATAGCTCCGAGCTGATAGTTTATGCGCGTACTTATATTCCATCATGCGTGCAAATTTTGTTTAGACATACAATTGTATGTAATATATCTACGCGAGCATTGTTAAAGCGTGATAAAAATTGTCACGTTAATTTATAATATTAATATCTTTTCTATATTTCGCGGTTTTTTTCATTGATAATAATAACAAAGAGATTACTGAAATTTATAAAATTATTTGTTGTTATATATAAATTAAGTTGTGTCCATTTCACACTTCTTCTTACGTCCTATATAATTATAGCACGAAGTGTATTTACCCTCACTGTGTGCGAGCGCTTAAATCATTTAAAATAAAAATCTAAAATATGACGATATCTATATGATGATATCTAATGATGATATCTTATGATGATATCTAAAATCTATAAAATTGACTATGTCGGTCAGTCTACATTTGGCGGATCGCTTTTATTCTTTATTTACTAGTTGGCTCAATCATGAATAATATAGATATTTAATAGCTTACTATAAAACGAATAAGATAATCGCATCGAGATACATCGACACAAATCTAAACTAAAATTTTCTATCAAGTTTTAAATTCATTTTTACTTTAATGCTAACACAATAATCGATGTTTTTCGCATTTACGTAATTCTGCTAATTGTGCTTTTATAAAAGAATAATTCTACGTCCGCATGGAAATGCAGTAATTTCTCTATTTCGTTTTTGTTTCAAGTTTTACTACGACATCTAAAAATGTAAATATCAACATTGATATTGTTCCGCTTTCTCAATCAACACAGCGCTATTGTTGCAAAGTCGAGCATGTGCGGAGCAACACGACTGGCGAGTGAACAATATCCGTATGTTGCAGATGCTTTTTTATGAAGTTATATACGTACGTGTTATACGAAACAGCACGCAGCAAGCGCGGCTTTTTTCTCACTGCACGACCTTCTCCAACTCTCGACAACCACGTAAACATTATTTTTTCTACCACGTGGTTGCTGCACCACGCTTGTCATTCACGTTGATCAGGTAAAAACAGCATAAAAACAAACACATTTTTGCGATATGAGAGCAGATATCAACGTTTAAACTAGAACAGAGCCAACACTTAATTTTAATGTCGATGCTGCAACTTTAAATAACTATAATTTACTAATAATAACATGCAGTCTTTCTCATTTGTATTAGAATTATATATATTCCTTTCTTCGTCTCGTTCATTGAGAAAATGAGGTGACAATATAATATTCTGTAAGCTTACTTTATGATTTGGTAATTATTTATTTTAGAGGACCCAGCTTGATCTTGATCTTGATATATATTATTAAGGACCCTCTGCTAAGTAACCTTCAGAAGGTTTTAGCCGGACGCTCGTAATTTATTAAAAAGTTATTGACAAAAGAATTTATATATATGTGATCAACTCAACACATTTGTATATCGTTATACATAAAACCATGTATATCGTTATACATAAAATTGGAATACGATTTCTTGCTTCTGATATTATTAAATAAAGATAGCAAGTTATCATAATATAACACGGTCGGCCGCGAGTTGCTTTGCGCTAGCACTTGGCTTCGCGACACTCCCGGTCGCTTGATATGTGCTAATCGGGACACTCCCGCTGTCCCGCCATCTAACAGAGAAATATAAGGTGATTTTTGGCGATCGTCTGGTATACGTACCAAAGTGTACCAAAGTATACCAGGACGTTTTCGCGTGTTTAGTAGCTTGTGGTAGAGGCGTGGCTAACCGTTTTGGTATCTCTTTGGTTCATACCACGCTATACCACGCTCGAGAGCAAGGTAGTTTTTCTGATACGTAACAAATATGCGCCAAATATAAAATAAATAGTTGTATCCAGCGAGAAATAAACCATTGGTTTTATATCGATTTGACGTAGTTTAGACTTTTCCAATGTCGAAACAATGTCAATTCGATGGTTTATTTTTCGCTGAGTATTTTATACGTTAATTTCTTTTGCACTTACACTGTTAAATCCGTAGTGTCAAATTATACTCAATTTGAGTTATTTTTAACCATTCCTATAAGTCGCCACTGCTCCTACTAAATATATTGTTAATTTAACTAATGTAATGGAGTAAAATAATTTAACTTAAGAAATGTATTAAATTTGACTAAAATTTACTTTATTTTTTATTATGTTACGTTAATGTAACCTTTGTTTTAGTAAAAAATAACTTAATATTGTTTTAAATGGGTTGATTAGATGTGGTTGTTTTTTTCAACACATGTTTTGTGTTAAAATAGTAAATTTTGACACACATGATAGTTAAAAATAACTAAATGTTATTTAACTCAAGAAATTGGTTTAAATTTAACCCTCTAATATTTAACAGTGTATAGATTAAGTAATGATCAATGGCGATTAAAATAGTGAACTATAGAATTAAAATTATACGATTAGTGTACGATTTATTTTTTTTAAAGATTTTTAAAGATTATATTATCTGATATTTTTATTTATAAATTGCATTGTTTTTTATCATCATGGACATATCTACTTGGAAAATCTACAATATTCGTGAACTTTTCTTCTATATTAACTCTTTGATCTATAGTAAGCCAATGTATTAAAATAGGTTCTAATTGTGATATAAGGTTTATCCATGTAGTAATGCAATTGGTAACAGTTGATGTTGCTGCCTCAAATTTGTTCCCGATTTGTGCCATAGATATTTCATGTGCCTAATAATATTTAGCTATTTGTTGTATTTTTTGTACTGCTATTGGTTGTATCCTCCAATATATATCCAAAATTATATTTCAATTATAAATTTTTTTGTATAATATTTACGACAGAATTTTTAAATTAGTGTAGACAAAGACTTCAAAAACATAGAAAGTTTTCTAAATATAACTAAATACAGTATTTACAACATATCTTGTCTTATTCATAAAATACTGTTAATTGTATAATTTGTTTTAAATGTAATTGGATCAGTCAGTATTTGCTATATATATGTAATGACATTAAGCATTTACCAATGATGCTAGCGCAATAATTATTTGTTACATTTAATACTTCTAAGAAAAATATCATTGTGGAAAAGAAATATATATGTGAGAAAAATATATTATTTATTGCTTATTTATTGTATTCTTTTTTGACGCATTATTAAATTCAACAACTGTTCAAATGTTACACATTTCATTCTAGAAGTCATACAAAAATCGTTTTCCGTATATAAATTAATCCATATTTCCCAATACAATTCAGGACCAGTATATTGTTATTTTTTCTTTAGAAGTGATAGACGTCTTTTCTTTATTGAATTTTGTACTTTGAAAAACTGGCTGTACATTTCTAGGAAAAATAAATTTTCATTTTCATCATCATATATTTCATAAATATACATAAGTAAACACCTTTTTAAACTCATAATTACTTTCTAACAAGAGACATAAATCAACACTAGCATCATTCTGTTTTTGTTGCATATTCTGTGTATAACAAAGATAGGATGATTATGACGACTTGTGTCTATTGGTTGAAAACAACTTTAGATTCGATTAGACTTAAACTGTTTTGAAGTCGCGCGTAAACAGAAAAGGACCAGTCTATTTTAGCGTTAGCAGTCGTATATAGTAGTGGTATACCAAAATAAGTTTCGCCCCTACTAACATCAACCTTATATATATATATATATATATATATATATATATATATATATATATATATATATATA